GCTCAGCATGGCTTTGACCTTGGAATCCTGCTGCCTCAGCCTCCAGTTACTGGGATTACAGACATGCCCCAAATGCCCAGATGCATCCATATTTTCAAAAGAAGGCATGTACTAGGAATGTTTACTGGAACTATCCAAATGCTTCCCAAAAAATTGTGGTACATTCACATAGTAAAATGCTATAATGTTAATGGGAATGATCTAAAATTAGAATGATCTAGAAATTAGTACATGTTACACAATTTCATTTATATGAAGTACAACAACCAGGCAAAATTAATTTATATTGTTAAATATTGGGATAGTAGTTACCCTTGAGGAAGATAGTGACTGAGAACAAATGGGACAGAAGATGGAGGGTCTTCTGGTCATCTTCTGTTTCTTAAAATGGATGGATGCAAGTTACATAGATGTGCCCAGTGGTTAAAATCCCTTAAGCTGTAAGTGTCCCTCCCAATTTGTATTATATTTTGACGAGGGCTGGGGGTATAGATCAGGGGTAGAGCACTTGCCTGGCATGTACAAGACCCTGAGTTTGATATCCAGCACTGCAAAGGCAAAAAAAAAAAAAAACAGAAATATTATACTTTGATGAAACTTTTGAAAATAAGTATACAAAGAAGGCTTAACTTTTAAGTTAAAAAACCTAAAACTTTTTAGTTAAGAAACAAGCTGTTTTAATCTAAATACATCTCATTGTTTTTCAGTTTCTCAGATTTCTGCTTAATTTTGGGTATTACCATTAATCAGTTTCTTACCTTTTTCTTTCTTTCTTTATTTAAATTTAGAGACAGGGTCTCACTGAGATGCTTAGGGCCTCATGAAGCTGCTGAGGCTGGCTTTGAACTTGTAATCCTCCTGCCTCAGTCTCCCATGTGCCAAGACACCTGGCTTGGAATCTTTTCCATGTACTAACAGCACCTTGTACATATCCTCATCTTAGAATTTGTTATTGTTCTCCAAGAATGTAAGGCACTTGACAACAGGGATAATGTCCATTATAATATTCCCAGAGGTTTAGAACTGTGGGCCACAGAATCTAATATCCAAGGATTACATCCCACAAGGCAGGTGCTTGCCCACAGTGGCACTCATGGAGAACAACAGCATCAGGGATAGGAGTCTGCTTTCTTTCTCCTTTGTGATAACCCAAAGGCAGAAAAAGGTAAAGGTTGTCCCTTAGTTCTTACTTAAGATTAAAACTATCTCGGTTAAACAAAGGGAAATAGGTTCACCAAAGTTTTAAATGTTTCTAAGGCTTATATATGAGCTGAAATAATTTAGCAGACCATAGAAGAAGCAATTAATTATTTCAGTTTAGTGCTAAAATGAACTGCTGGGTGACCATTAGGTCAGTTTCTTCGTATGTAAAATAGGGGCGCTAAGCTGGATGACCCAAAAACTTCTCAGGATGCCATACTACGTGTGACTGGCTCCACCTCGTGGACATTCAGGTAACATACGCTGAGAAACCACTGGGTCTGGGTAGAAGAGCAGCTGGTTAAATTGGCACCAGAGAGCTTTTTCTCCTGGCATTTCTCTATGGCAGCTTCTCAATAATTCATACATCACTGGGGATAAATAAAATGGTTTTAGTTCTTCAAAAATAAGAAAATTGTATTTATATCAGACAATTATATCAGCAATTCAGAGATTGATAACCTAACAATGCTTTAGAAATAACCCTTAAGATATCAGATCCCCTACTTCACCTCCTGTCACTGATTTACTAAGATGTCTCAGAAGCCAGTAGAGCTATTAACACCCTGGATTCATGCCCTTAAGTGGCACTGTCTTTGGTCCTAATGTAACCAGGGGGAAGGGGAGCCATTCTGTAACCTATAATGTGAATGGTGGGTGCTCCCTTGCAGCTGTTTCAGGACTTTCTGCTAGAAGAAGAAACTGAGGTTGGAGCTTTAGCCCTTGAGGCGGAAGAGATGTTTTACTATTTTAGCATGTTTTATGAATTGGTTCCACAGTGTTGTTATAGGAGTCAATTTTATTTTTTATTATTATTTTTTATAATTATAGATGGACAGAATGCCTTTATTTTGTTTATGTGGTGCTGAGGATTAAACTCAATGCCTAGGCAAGTGCTCTACCACTGAGCTACGGCCCTAGCCCTATAGGAATCAAATTTTACCCCGGAAAAATCATCGTGAGGGCCTAACATGGTCACTTCTTGTTTTCAGAACTTTCGTGAGATCAAACCTGGCATCACTTATGCTCTCTATACAATTCCCAATTCTGGGATTCATGTGCTTCCCAAGTATAATAATCTTAGGAATATATGTTCCCAAGCCCTGAAACCTAATAAAGCTTTATGACTTGTTTTGTGGTGATGATGATGGTAATGGGGATCTTGATGTGAATTTGGGTTCACTATAATCATAAAGAATTTTCATCCCAAGCATATTCAATTAAGACTTCAGTACTAAAGTCTGAACGAACAAATGATGAAACAAACTTACCACTGTGCACCTATTATATATAGGTTAGGGCCACTAGGATGCATTCTCTTTTGCTCTTAACTACAACTGTTTCAGACTATTTTCTACAGCTTATAGAAGAGGAAATGAACATAGATAAAATTTATCAGAGATCATAGTCAATTAAGAAGAAACACCAAGATTTCAATCCAAGTCTTCTAATTCCATCATTTGTTCATCTATGTCCTGGTGATATTAAAAGGACTTACTGTTTCTAGCCCCATGATTTCTCAAGTATCAAATGACTGTTTAGAACACTTAGTAGGGTATTGGGATATAGGAGCTTAATTAGTACTTAAATAAAAGTCTGTTTTAAAACTGCCACAGTTTTCACTGCAGACTTATTCATTTCCAAAAGGGAAAAACACACACAGTGGCATACACTGTAATCCAAGCAATCTAGGAGTCTGAAGCAGGAGGATCACAAGTTCAAGGGCAGGAAAGACCTTGACTCGGCAATTTAAATGAGACCCTGTCTAAAAATTTTAAAAATTAAAAGGGCTAAGTGATAAAAAGGCTCAGTGATAAAACACTAATGGGTTCAATCCCAGTATTCAATAAATTAATTTTTAAAAAGTTAGGGATATAGCTCAATGGCAGACCAACTGCCTAGCATGCATGAGGCAGGCCCTGGGTTCAATCCCCACTTTTGAATAAAAATATTTTTTAATTAAATGCATTGATGCTATAATGTGACAAAATATGGTTCAGGCTTTCATGGAACCCATTTAGCATATAATCCCATTTTTGCGTGTTGGAGAGAATGTTTTGTTTTAGAAGGCTTATCTAAGTGGGGCCTGAGTTAAACCTTAAAGACAAGTAGATATTGCTTAGTTATATGATGTGGAAATGGGTCAGGGGGAATAATGTATGGAAGCACATACATTATTGAGTAATGTATGTGCTTCCATACATTGGAATAATGATGGAGAGTGATAATGTTTATTCCTGCTGTTTCTTCGAAACCCTTGCCCTTTTTACATGGTCTGTTTATCTCCTGTTTCCATTGACCACTTCCTCCCTCAACCATGAGACCAGCAGTAGTAGAAACAGCATCCTATTACTAGCACCAAAGTTACGGGTCCTGAGAACTATACTCTCCCTTGAAGTACCTGTACACCTTGTACACATAAAGTCCCTTTATTAAACTCTCCTCCAATTATTCAATTTCAATAAGCCATCAACTTCCTGCCAGCAACCTAAGTGATATAAAGCTCTACAGACAGTTTGAGAGATTCCAACATATTTTACATGACATTTAGGACCATGAGAATGGAGATGGTCTGAGAAAGCTGAAGGTAAAGCCTGGACCAACAAGTATCTGAATTAAGAGATAACCTGGAAGCCAGTGTTATCAGTCAAGAATATCTCAAAAAGGCTGGAGATAAAACAAGATGAAAGTCCTGGGTTCAATCCCCAGCACTGCAATAATTATTATTATTATTTCAACAGGGTAACCACTGATAACATCAATTGCTGTGAAAAGCCTGAAAAAATAAGATGAGGGCTTTGGAATTTCCCATGAAGCCACCAGTAAACTTTGAGGTAGAAAGGGCAGTATGAACAGCATGGAATAGTTTAGAAGTAGCTAAAAGTCAAGAATGCACTTGATACTTAAAAAAAAAAAAAAAAAACGGCACAGCCGTGTGCTCACCTGTAATCCCAATTTCTGGGAAAGCTGATGCAGAAGCTAGAGTGGGCAATTTAGCAAGACCCTGACTCAAAATTTAAAAAAAGAACTGGGGTGTCACTTAGCAGTAGAGCATCTGGGTTCAACCTCCAGTATGCGGGGGCAGGGGGGTCACCATCAGAGATTGGGAAGGGGTGGGAGGTGTTCAGTTTTAACATTACCAGGGACCTTCTGAGGCTATCCTTAAACTTACACTCTTCCTGCCTCAACCTCCTGAGTTGCTGGAATTACATGCAGATGTGATAGCACCTAGCACAAATTTTGCTTTAAGTCGCTAAGTTTGTGGTAATTGTTATACAGCAATTGATAATACAGATACTGTCACCTTTCTACTATTTGGTAGAGTGCTTGTCTAGCATGTATGAGGGAGGCCCTAGGTTCAATCCCTACACACATCCACACATTAAACTTCAACAATACTATAAAAAGTTTGGCCTATAAAATCAATCTTCCCCAGAAAACAAAACAATCTGAGAATTGATGTGGATTATACCTCTTAGGATTCCTCATAATTCTGTAAAGAAGCTGGGGGGGGGGGGGGCGGGTATTAAGGAAAAAGTATGTTGAAGGTAACATTGAGGCCAGCCAGAAGCAACTCTGTGTCACCCCGTCTCCAAAAAACAAAAAAACAAAAAACACACACACAAACCCCTCTAAACTGTATTGCTCAAATGGGTAATAATAAGAGGTAGGAGGGAATAAAGAGAATTTTCCTGCCTCATGTCTTTGTTACCATACTATAAACTTAAATGGAATACCTGTGCAGAACAAAAACATTATTCTGACCAAAGACCTTTAACAAAAAGCCACAAAACATCTCCTTTTATTTTCTAATAAGACTAAATTTATTCAATAACCTAGTAAAAGTTTTGATTATAAGTATCCAACAGTATAAAAAGTACAAAACAGATCTGTAGATTTCTAATATATTAATACAAAGTGCATGACTACATACAGTACATCCTACAGGCAAAGAAAGGTGGAAGGGGAAAAAGAAGACTGTGGTTGAGGTCTAGTAATAAATAAATAAATACAGAAGTAGAGAGAGATGATCCATATTATAGTATATTCTACCACCAATACTGCAGCCAAAATGTACAAAAAAAAAACATTTCAAAATAACTCAGGAGAATGATAATGGCTGGACTCTTGTAATACACCTCAAAGGCTATGGGAGAGCCGACCCAACTCACTGTGTAGTCTGTGCATATGGTGGCTTGTAGCATGTAGGTATTTTCTCAAAAGGAAGAAATATAAAATAAGTTTTAAGAACTATAAAACTATAGGGTACCCATAAAAAGTGGCTCACTCCTTACTGTGATGCTATCCAATTTTTATAATCCAGTTTTAAAAATAAGCACTGAGTCATGTTATTACAAGGCAGACAAATATTCCTCCCTCATGTATGGAAAGTTTGAACTGGTGCTATTTTTTTCCTGAATTTTTAGAAAAGAAGCAATAAGAATACTTTGGTTTGGGTTCAATAAGAGGCTTTTAATAAGGATTTTAGAATTAAAAGCTCCAGTTTCAGCATTATCTCAATGTTCAGAAAGACTGACTATAAAAGAAGCCAAACCAACACTAACCCCCCCTTAGCATGAACCCACCTTTCTTCTTAGTAAATTTTACTTTTAAATAGTGAAAAAAAAAAAAAAAAAAACCAAAAGCCCAACAGGTTAAAACAAGTCAAACACCTACTCTATGCAGATAGAACCTTCACAAAGGTCAACTGAAGTAATCCAGAGCTAAAACTGAATTGTGAAGATTTCAATGAAGTCACCAGTCATGTAACACAAATAAAGTCAATTATTTACACACTCGGGCAAGCCCGACAAGCAACGTGCCCAAGAAGCATTAACCTTTGTTTTGTGCCATCCTGAAGACTTGCACATAGTTTAACATTTTGAAGAGTGTGTTTTCCACGGTGTGGTAATGCTTTGGTACTATTCATATAAGATCTCATCTATCCCACCTACTCACCTCTTCTCCAAGAGGAGATTTCATTCTGCTTGAAAAGTTTCACATAAATTAAAATCTTTAACAAATATTAATATGAAGGAAGGTGACACAGGATGCAACACATACAGTCAAGCTTCTCTCTATATAATTAGAAATTACTTCCTCCGTCAAGGTATTTGCACCAAAAAGCTCAGTCTGTCCTGCTTAATCATCAGTAGTACAGGTTTGATTCATCAGAAAGTTGGAGAGACTCAATTATATCAAAATTATTAACAACTACCTCTAGGGGCAAGACATGTTATTGAGTTATGACAAGTCTACTAACATGAGGGAAAACAAGTGTAGCCAGCCATCTTTAAAAAATGCCCCAACCACTGCTTCTCAATATAGAAAGACTAAAAACTACATATGGTTTATCATACAACAAATCCCATCTGTGTCCCCTGAAATTCCCCTAATTTAATTCATTAGAAGGGGATTATTAAAAAAAAAAAAAAGACTTAAAGAGCACTTTACAGCAGCATTCAGCTTTCCTATGAAATACTCAGCATCTTAAATATTATGTACACTTCTTTTTTCTTTTAGTAAGCTAGACACTGGCTTCAAAGTTTATGGGACTGGAGGAAAAAATAACCCATTCAAAACTATTCTAGAAAATTGTGTTTTGGCAGAATAGCAGGTATCCAAGTCAAAAATAGTAAGGTCAGTTTGTTGCTTTGTGGTCTTTTCAAAATTTAAATCATTTGTTCCCCTTCTACATAAACCTCAGTCACCACTCCTGAGTGGAGATGGGCAGAGGTTCGGGCCCCTGCTCCTCTGGCTTCTCTGCAGCTGTCTTCTTATTGCTGCAGCAAGGCTTGAATAGATGTGTGTCAATGAGGACTTCTCCAAAACGGCCTTTATAGATAATCCCACAACAAATTTTCTGTCTGAAAGAAAAAACGGAGAAATATATTAATAAAGCAGAATAGAATACCAAAAGCATACAAAAAACTCTACTCCTCATGTAATAACCAGCCTAACATGACCAAAAGGCTGTACTTTGATAATCTTCTCACATTCCCAATGAAAGGGCTCCTAGAGTTACCCCAATAGCTAAAGAATGGGAATTACTCAAGTCTCTTTAAATTCCACAATGAAAATTTTTCTCAAGTATGGAGGAAGAAGGCATTCTGAAAGATAGCAACTGCTATTAAAGTTGTTAACTGTTTCCTGCAAATATCAACATTTTTGGTGTGGGATGGGGTGGGGTGAGGTGGGGTGCCAGGAATAGAACACAGGGCTTCTCAGCCACTGAGCCACATCCCCAGTCTTTTTAATATATTTTTTTGAGACAGGGTCTCACTAAGTTGCTTAGGGTCTCACTAAGTTTCAGCCTCCTGAGTCTCTCAGATTATAAACACACACTACTGCACCCAGATATCACTAATTCTTTTTTTTTTTTAAGAGAGACAGAGAGAGAGAATGAATTTTAATATTATTTTTTTAGTTTTTGGCGGACACAACATCTCTATTTGTATGTGGTGTTGAGGATCGAACCCAGGTCGCACGCATGCCAGGCAAGCACGCTACCACTTGAGCCACATCCCCAGCCAAGTATCACTAGTTCTTGAAGAAAACCATCCACCCCAAACAAGCTGATAGAGCTTGTGGTTTTATTTCAGTTAAATACTAAAAAACCATATATATGCATTATCAAATATACATAAAGGCATCCAAAAAGGACAACTGTAGGGTGTGGTGGTGCATGCCTGTAATCCCAGGTGCTCAGGAGGCTAAGGCAGGAGGATCCCAAGTTCAAGGACAGCCTAGTAACTGAACAAGGTTCTAAGCAACTAAGCAAGACCTTGTCTCAAAATAAAAAATTAAAATGGCTGAATATGTGGCTCAGTTGCTAAATACCACTGGGTTCAATCTCTAATACCAATAAATTTTTAAAAATTTTTTAAAGACAACAAAAATCAGTGCATCACATATTACAAGAATGTTACATCAATTCCTATGAATTCACCTGTATGACATTTTCCAGTCCTACCTAACTCCCATTTTATTCTCTCCTGCCTTAATTTGTAGTTTATTATTCCCTTTTTTCTTTACACTTCATGGTTTTGCTATCTGTTTGCATCTTTGAACATATTGCTCAACAACTCATCATAAAAACACATGCACATGCCAGGTATAGTGGCACATGCCAATAACCCTCAACGACTTGAGACTGAGAGAGAAGGATAGAAAATTTAGCGTAACTCAGTAATATAAAATCCCTGGGTTCAATCCCCAATACCACAAAAACAACCCCCACCCACACAACGTATTCTCCAAGTTTTTGCTCAACACTGAGTAACTGAGATTCACATGTAGTTAGGGGACTTTATTTAAAATAATTTAGGTATACTATTCCAACATGTGAATATACAAGTTTTATTTATCCACTCTTTGCTATTACAAACACTGCTGTACTTGCCAGGGTATACCGCCTAAAGTTTTCTAGGTCATGTTGCTAGGATATAGGAATGGGATTATCTTCACCTTTACTCAAAAATGCCAATTTATTAATCAATGTGGTTAGAACTACTTATACCATAACCAACATTTCAATTCTTCTTCAACATCTGACAACAGATTTTATTCTATTTTTAACAATAATGGGTAGAAAATTCAATTTTAATTTATATTTCCTTGATTATCAAATTTTTTTAACATGTTTTCATTTAATGAGCTATTTCATTTGTGTAATACCAAGTCCTGTGCCCAGTTTTCTGTTCGTTTGTCTTATACTTCCTTTCACAGGAGTTGTTTATGTATTCAACATACTAATATTTTGGCAGATGTATTAGATATCCTCTTCCTTCCTTCCTTCTACTAGAAATTGAACCCAGGGACTCATGCAGGCTACAAAACCACATCCTCTCAGTTTTACTATAACCATGAATGTGGTATGCCTCGTTAGTTATTTAAAATGTTATTCAGGGGCTGGGGCTGGAGCTCAGCGGTACGACATTTGCCTGGCATGTGTGAGGCAATGGGTTTGATTCTCAGCACCACATATAAATAATAAAGATCTATCACCAACTAAAAAAAAAAAATTAAAAAAAATGTTATTCAATAATGTATATGATTTTTAGATATTTTCTACATAAAGGGTTCTATATTTCCCGCTAGGTTTTATTTATTTATTTACTACTAGGTTTTAAAAATATTTTCTAATGATATTCTAACACAAAACTGCCTTGGCTTAAATTCTGTTTGACTTACTGTGTAATAAATAAATTACTTCCTTTCTACCTGTTTCCATAAAATGCATCCTACAACTGTTTTAAGGATTAAATGGAATAATATATGCAAACCATCTATAAAGCACTGTTCCAAGTGTTTACTACTGCTGCTACTACTGTTACTACCACTAACCAACAATCACCACATCATCCATAGCTACTGAATTTGCTAACCTTCTGTGATAGTAAACATTCCTTGATTTATTCCTAATCTGAAGAGAAAATGCTTTCATTTTATCACAATTAAGTATGATGCTGGCTGTACTTTTTTTAATATACCCATTATCCAAGTAATTGAGTTCTCTTCTATGCCTGTATTATGTTTTGTTTTAAAATTTAAAGAAATGTTTGCATTTGTCAAAACCTTCTCTGTGCCACCCTCCCTTTCTTTTACATCCCCAAAATATATGTATCTGGTAATTTATGGTATCAAAGTGACTTTATAAAGGTTTGAGGCTTATGCTTTCTTCTACCCATATCCACAGACTGGAAAAGTCAGTACAAGATTACAATCATGAGTGTTTAGTAGAACTTGCCACTCAAGGCCCAGGATTTCTTTGAGGGAAGTCTCTCCCTCTGTCTTAATTGAACCTAGGAACACTTATTCACTGAGCCACATCCCAGCAAATCCCCACCTACCGCTTTTTTTTTTTTGGGGGGGGGGGGCCGGGGGAACAGTATCACAGTAAGTTGCTGATTTGAACTTGTGCTCTTCCTGCCTTGGCCTCCCAAGCCAATGGGATCATAGGCATGTGTCACCCCTATCGGCTTGGGAGGAGACTTGACCACTGAATCAATGTTTATTAAAAGAAAATTCAAGTCTTTCTTGAGACAGACTTGGTTAGATTTTTCTAGTAATGTGTCCACATTACAAAAGTTTAATTTATTGGCAAAGTTGTTTATAATTACTTTTAATCTTTTAAATTTCTACTTCATCTAAGCCTCTTTTTTCCTTCCCTAAAATTGCTTGTGTATGTTCTTTTTCTTGATGCACTTCATCTCCAGTTAATTTTTTTCATAAGAACCTTTTTGAAAACCTACTAATTCTCTCCTCTGTATATCACCTTTCTGTCCTATTTATTTCTTGTCTTCCCCCTTCCACCCTCAAATGCTGGGGATCAAATTCATGACTTCACACACACTAGGCAAGTGCTGTACCACTGAGCTACATCTCCAATCTTCTACTCTCATCTTTGGGATTCCCGTTTATTATATATATAGTTGTATTGGCTTTTATGTTAGATACATATCACATTCTTCATTTTTAAGCCTTCCTTTAAAAAAAATTTATTTTTAATGATAGTTTGACACAATACTTTTGTTTCATTTATTTTTTTTTTTTAATTTGGTGCCGAGGATCGAACCCAGAGCCTCTCATGTGCTAAAGGAGCACTCTACAACTGAGCCACAACCCCAGCCCAAGTCTTCCTTTTTTAGCAATCAAAGACAATATGGGGCTGGGGTTGTGGCTCAGAGGTAAAATGCTCGTCTGGCCTGTGCGATGTCCTGGGTTGAATCCTCAAGCACTACATAAAAATAAATAAATAAAACAAAGGTATTGTGTCCAACTACAACCAAAAAATACACATTAAAAAAGACAATAAATACTTCTCCATCTGCATTTTTAGTTTCACTGTGCACATCTTGTTTTATGGTGTTATTTAGTTTTTGTTCAGTTATAAATATTTTTTAAGTTCTAACAATGATATATCCCAGCCCTATTCTACTGTATTTCTACTATACTTTTTGTCCCACTTGTGATTTATGCCTTTTCTGTTTTGCAAACTTTTGGGTAGGAAACTACTCTTATTCTATAATTCCCGCCTCCTCCATTTTTCTTTGGAGGTCTTATACTTTTTTATTCTTTTAGTGATTACACAATTAATTTATCAAATTCTAAAAAGTTATTCAGTCTTATTATCAAAAGGCAAAGAACATTTAGACACTTCCTACCACCTCTATCACTTCAAGTTAAAATGCTATAATTATCATGCATTTTTTTTTCTTCACTATTACAACTACTGTCCTTGTAAAGTGTTCAAATTTATCTAGATGTTTATTAATTTATTTATCCTTCTTTCCTCCCAGAACCTCAATGTAGAATCTCTTTCCTTTTGCCTCTGTGAGAATCAGCTTGCTGGCAAGCTCCAATTTTTTTTCCTAGTCAAAATGTCTCATGAGGGGCTGGGGTTATAGCTCAGTATTAGAGCACTTGCCTAGCATGTGTGAGGCTCTGGGTTTGATCCCCAGCACCACATAAAACTAAATAAACCAAATAAAGCATTGGGGGGAGGGAGGATGTCTCATTAGCTTTTTTACAAAAGATATTTTTGCTATATATAATTTTAGATCACGAAGTATTATCTCTTGGTCCACTGAAGATATTAATCTACTGTTTTCTTGCTTTTTTTATCCATGCTTCTTAATGTGTTCCTTTGAAAATAATGTGTTTTCTCACTCCCTACAGTTATATTTTGTCTTTCGTATTCTGTAGTTTCACTACCCAATGTCTACAGATGAAAATCTTGCCTTTTGTTTATCTTGAATCCTAAAAAAAAAAAATCCCTATCTACTTTCTCTTTTTGGGGCTTTGGGGCCACACATTCACTTAGCATTTGTCCTGGGTATTCTTTATTAACTTACCCACCCATTAATGACATTTGACTTTAAAAAGGAACTTTTTAAAATTATGTGTCTAGCAGCTGTGGTTTTGGAGGTTTTTTTGATGACAAAAGTTGTAAGTGGGAAAATGCTTCTTGTAATTAAGATGGGTGCTGATTGAAAAGAGATTTTTCTGGGCTGGGGATGTGGCTCAAGCAGTAGCGCGCTCGCCTGGCATGCGTGCGGCCCAGGTTCGATCCTCAGCACCACATACAAAGATGTTGCGTCTGCCGAAAACTAAAAAAATATATATATATATTTTTAAAAAAAGAAAGAAAGAAGAAATTTTCTGTTGCATTTACCTTTTCCAGTAAGTAAGATCTAAAAAGGAAAAAACTGGTGTTCTATTAGAGCCAGAAGCCATTTCTGTATCTGAGCCGTCATCTGACTGGTTACTATAACAAGGAGATTGAGCTGGGGAGGCACTTGAGGTGGTACTGTGAGCATCAGAATCTGTAATAAATAGAAAAAACAGTTAATTTCATTATATGTAAATGCAACTAGTGCTGTTAAACTTCAAATTGTGTTAATTACAAATAGGCCCACTGTAAGTAATGCTAAATACAAAATGTGATTGGGATGGGGCTGTAGCTCCGGGATAGAGTGCTTGCCTTGCACATGTGAGGTACTGCTGATCCTCAGCACCACATATAAAGATATTGTGTTCATCTACAACTAAAAAAATATTAAAAAAAAAAAAATGTGTTCAAGGGGCTGGGATTGTGGCTCAGTGGTAGAGTGCTTGCCTAGCATGCATGAGACCCTGGGTTCAATTCTCAGCACCACATAAATGTAAAATAAAGATATTGTGTCCACCTAAAACTAAAAAATAAATATTTTTTTAAAAATGTATTCAATACACCTTAGCCTACTAAACATAGCTGTTTCCGGCTTGACTGTATAGCTGATTAGAAGCTACTGTTTGCTGTGGCTGCCCAGCATTTTAAGGAAATCATACTGTATACATAGCTAGCTTGAGAAAAGATTCAAATTCAAAATCTGAAGTATTGCTTTTATTAAATGCATATTGTTTTCACACTATCATACAATCAAGAAATTCTAAATCAAGGACATAATGGAGACTTAAGACTGAATAAATTGGCAAAAAGAAGGTAAAAAAAAGACTGATATTTAAAGATGTTTGCACTGCAATAATTTTTAAGAGAATGTCTGTTTCCAAGAAGATGGAATGCATGTATTTTTCTCTGTTCCTCCTGCTTATAGAACTAAAAACCTGTGCATTACATATAAAACTAACCTAAACTCTGAAAGGTGATGACCATATATGCAGCTTGGGGCCCAAGGAATGAATGACACAGTCATGAATTACCTACTTTTACTGGATTTTCTTTTCACCTCAAATTTGGAAGTGAAGCTTCAGCAAACCAAAAACAACAAAATGCACAGATGACTCCCCAACCGCCCCCCACGCCAAAAAAAAACAAAGGGTTCAATAAAAGCCAGCTCTCTCTAGTCAAAGGACCAGGAAAAACGCAATTAAGACAGTTTTCTTTTATTAGACAATAATGATTATCTCCAGCAGCACACTGGTGGCCATTGCCCACCACTCCAAGCAAAGACTAAGCAGAGAACCTAGATTTCCACCTTCATTAAATTGCTTTGAGGCACCAATATCTCCACCAGGTGCCAGAGGAAGCCCAGTGAAGAGCCAGGACTTTCACTAAGAAAAAAGCTACCTTACCATGTGAAAGTCCTACAAATCCTGCTTCGCTTCCCCACACTAATAACAAGGAATCTTTGCCCTCACCTGTCAATGGTGACTGAGGGATCTGACTTCTAAAAAAAGTAGTAATAACATGGTGATAGCACCCCATCCCCCTTGCCCTGATGCAAGTGTCCAAAAAAGGTAAAATTTAAATAAGATCCAAAGTCTAACAATATAAGCCGAAAATGTCCAAGATTCAACCAAAAATCACATCATACCAAAACCCACAAAGATTCCAACCAAATGAAAAGACATGCCAAAAAGATAGATGTTAGAATTATCTGATGAAGATTCCCACCCCTCTGGGGCGGGGGGCAGGGATTGAACTCAGGGCCACTGGAGCCACATCCCCACCCTATTTCATATTTTGAGACAGGATCTCACTGACTTGCTTAGCAGCCTCGATTTTGCTGAGACTGGGTTTGAACTCATGATCCTTCTGCCTCAGCCTCTCCAGCTGCTGGGATTACAGTCATGCACCTCTGCACCTGGCTTCTAATGAAGATTTTAAAGCAGTCATAAGAAAAAACACTTCAATAAGCAATCATGAAATGTTTAAAACAAATGAAAACATAAGCCAGGCCAATGGCACATACCTATAACCCTAGTACTGTGGAGGCTGAGGCAGGAGGATCTCAAGGTCAAGAAAGCCTCAGCTACTTAAAGTGACCCTGTATCAACATAAAAAATGTTTGGGGGTGTGGCTCAGACAGAATTCCTCTGGGCTCAATCCCTTGTGCAAAGTGGCAAGGGATAGGCTCAGTAAACAGGCTCAACAATGGAGAGGACAAAGAAACCTAAACAGTTAACAGAAGAAAGAACAGAAATTACCAAATCTGAACACAGTGAAACCCTACTGTAAGTCCTGGAAGAATAGGAGAAAGGAAAGGAAAGAGGAAAAAAAAAAGAAGGAAGAAAGAAATCAACTACAGAAAAACACTTTACCTATTAGGGAAAACCAATAGATTCTGATTTACTAAGGAATAAAGGCAATTTATTAGATGCAGAACTAAACCTGACCAATATTTTGGCCCTCAGAAGTCGTCATATAAACATGCCAGAAAACAAATCTTTTGTTTGATACTCACTATGACAAAAGGCTATAGTTCTGCTATATCACAGCCAGTATCATAATAAAGAGTGAAATTTAATGCAACCTCTAAACTAAAAACTCCCTGCTCCCAGGACAAATGAACAGAATAATTCTATAATTCAGAAAATCAATCAAATATTTATTAAGTACAAAACCCTGTTATATGCTACATGAGTGAAAAAGAATAAAGGATACTAAAGAGCTCACAAGTTTGTATTAATAAGCATTTACATAAAATAGCATAAGATTATGTATCTAAAAAGTACCATGAGTGTTTTTAATACATTAATTTATTTCCAGTGTAAATAGCATTCAAGGTCATTAAAAAAAAAAAAAAAAACCTAACAAAATCCTTAAACACAGAAGGCTTCAAAGGAATAAGTACAGGAGAATAAAAACTTTCCAAATATGGGGCTGGGGTTGTGGCTCAGTTCTTGAGCACCAGCCTAGCAATAGCAAGTCCCTGGGTTCGATCATCAGCACCACATAAAAATAAATAAAAATAAGGTGGGCTGGGGCTGGGGCTCAGTGGTAGAGTGCCTGCCTTGTAGGTGTGAGGCCCTGAATTCGATCCTCTGCACCACGTAAAAATAAAGATGTTGTGTCCATCTACAACTAAAAGAATATTAAAAAAAAAAAAAGATTTAAAATAAAATAAAGGTATTGTGTCCAACCACATCTAAAAAATATTAAAAAAAAAAACAAACTTTCCACATAATTAACCTTAGTAGTCAGCTCTACACTACTGAGGAAAGCTCACTGTCCTAGGAGGTGCTTAACATCTTCAAACCATTTGAAAATCCAGTTATTTGCCATTTTTAAACTTTTTTTTTTTTTAATTTTGAGATAGACCCTAAATTGCTTAGGGCCTCGCTAAACTGCTGAACCTGCAATCCTCCTACCTCTCAATCTCTAGGGTAGCTGACTGAGGCTATCTACAGGTATGCACCACATAGGCTGGATTACCCTGTTTTCTTTAACCTATAGAAACCATTTCTTGGGGCTGGGGATATAGCTCAGTTGGTAGAGTGCTTGCCTTGCATGCACAAGGCCCTGGGTTCAATCCCCAGCACCACCAAAAAAAAAAAAAACAAACCATTTCTTATGGTTTAATCTCAAACTCTAGGAAGTACATTTGAACACAATGAAGAATTCTTCTAGAATGTAAATCTGGAAATTCTTCAAATAACTGCAATCTTAAAAGTCTTTAAAATTAGGTAAGATTTAAAAAGGTACAAAGGAGTGATTAAGGTAACATGAGGTTAGCTGGGAATAGTGGTATACCGCCTGTATAAACCCAGCTGCTCAGGAGGCTGAGGTTGAAAGATCTGAGCTCAAGGCCAGCCTTAGCAACACACTGAGACCCTGTCTCCAAAAAAAAAAAAAGCATAAGGTAGGTAAAGGTAATAAGGAAAGCCACTATGTGCTACAGAAACTGAGAAACTGATTTAGCTCAAATATGCTTTTACTAAAATAGGACCTTCAAAGACTTTTTAGGGAACATTTATTCTATCACAATCAGAAATCAATGTAGATTTTGAAAAGGATGCCATAAAAAGAATACCGAGCCAGGCATAGTGGTGGCAAGCCTATAATCCCAGTGGCTCAAAGAGGCTGATTGAAGGGATGGGACTGTGGCTCATGGTAGAGCGCTTATCTAGCATGCATGAAGCACTGGGTTCGGATCCCCAGCACCATAAATTTTATATATATATACATAAATAAATAGATAAATAAATAAAGGTATTATGTCCATCTACAAGTAAAATAATATATATATTTTTTAAACAAGAGGCTGATGGACAAGGATCACAAAGTTAAAAACCAGAGTCAGGACCACAGAAAGCCCTGTCTCAAAATTTAAAAATAAATAAATAAATGAAAAGGGCTGAGGGTACTGGGATTGTGCACAATGGTAGAGTGTGAGGCACTGGGTTCAATTCTCATCACCACATATAAGTAAATAAAAAAATAAAGGTCCATTGACAACTAAAAAAATATTTTTAAAAATTCATTAAAAAAAAAGGTTAGGGATGTGATTCAGTGGTTAAGCGCCTGTGAATTCAATCTAGTACCCTACCCTCCCAAAAAATAGCCAAGTCAGGTGTTACTCAGGCATATGCCTGTAAATCCCAACAACACAGGAGCAGAGTCAGAGAACTGCAAGTTCTGAGAATTGCAAGTCAGCCTCAGCAAATTAGCAAGACACTGTCCCAAAATAAAAAGTGGGGATGTAGTTTAATGTTAAAGCACCCCGGGTTCAATCCACCATACCAAAAATAAACAAATAATAGATAGCGAATGGGCTGGAGATATAGCTCAGTTGGTAGAGTGCTTGCCTTATATGCACAAGGCCCTTGGTTCAAATCCCCAGCACCACAAAAGAAAGCTAAGACTGTGTGTCTTACAAAACCCTTTTTTAATGCAATTATCCCCATTTCTCCAATTAGAATATTGTGGATAAATGTTAATTGACTCCAAAGCAAGCCATTGCTTAATGATAAGAACTGTTATTTCTTTTCAGTTGGTACTGCAGATTGAACCCAGGGGTACTTTACCATTGAACCACATCCCCAGACCTTCAAGGATTGAACCCAAGGGCACTCAACCACAGAATCACATCCCTAGCCCTTTTTATATTTAGAGACAAGGTGTTACTGAGTTTCTTAGGGCCTCACTAAATTGCTGAGGCTGGCTTTCAACTTATGATCCTCCTACCTCAGCCTCTTAAGCTGCTCCCAGCCCTTTTTTTTTTTTTAATTTTATTTTTTATTTCGAGAAAGGGTCTCACTAAATTGCTCTAAATTTAAAGAGTCTCACTAAGTTACTGAGGCTGGCCTCAAACTTGCAATCCTCCTACTTCAGCATCCCAAGTTATAGGATTACAGATATGGGCCAAAATGCCCAAATCTTTAAGCTCTAGGTCCAATGCCTTTCCAGTACACCACATAACAATGTTTTTCTGGGCATAGTGGCACACACCTGTAATCCCGGAGACTCAGGAGGCTGAGGCAGGAGGATTGAAAGTTGTGGGATCCTGTCTTTAAAAAGAGCTAGAGTCATACTCAGTAGAAGTGCCTCTGGGTTCAATCCCCAGTATTGTTTTTTTTTTTTTTTTAAAGGGAGTATACAGACCATACACGATGTACTGTCTCCAAACTTGTTATGATGTATACAGGATCTAGTAATTCACAATATACCTAAGAAAAACCTATTTCAGTTTGAGTTGTGAATATTCACACACCTTATCAAAGGGATTTACTTTCAGTTTCCAACCACTACACAGTCCAGCTTTATCTTAAAACTCTTAAGGTACAATGGACATATTTCCTTAGGTAAGATCAAAGTAATATTACTTTGTCTATTACTAAAGGAAAAGAGCTAAGAATATACATGTGAATAATCAATTCCTCTGCCTTCAAGTGATAGAAGAATATTACAATTTCCAAAATATTCATTAAAACATCTAGTCAGAATGGAGGGTAACAACATTAAACCTTCTTATTTTTGGAAGGTAGATGACAATTGGTTTAAAAAAAAAAAGGAACACACATAATTAAAACACATACACACAGACATACTGTTATGTTTCTTAAATGTTTTACTATTAATATATTAAAATAGCTACCATAAATTAAATATATCATTAGAGTAACTAAAGGAAGACTGTGTATAACACTCTCTACTAAGAATGATCTGAAAAGATCAAGTACTGAAGCACTTGTTATGCTACCAGGGAAAAACAGTTGCCCTTTGGAGCACAGGACTTTGAAGTTAAGACAAACCTGTAAGTCAAACTCACCTCAATCACTTACTTACTAACTGACCTGGATCAAGAAATAGCCTCTCTGTGCTTCCTATCCTAAGTAATAAAATGGAAATAATAGCGATAGAGATGTAAAGTGTACAAAAGTGGTCAAAAATTAGTTCTCCCTCACTCAGTACTTTTCCTAGTTTACACTTAACTGTCTTTCAGTTATGCCACCATAATACCATCCCTCAGACGTGATACTCATAGTAATCTCACACACAACACAGGTGACTTTCAACCTAAAAGTCTGGAGACAGGCATTACTCAATTTGTGGGTTATAATTTCTAAAATTACTTTCTAGGAATCCAGGCTTTGCTCTCAGATTGTCCACTAATTATTTACATACCTTTTTTTTTTTTTTATAGGCAGTACTGGGGATTGAACCCAGGGACCCACTATCATTATCCACACCCCTAATCCTTTTAATTTTGAGACAGCATCTCACTAAATTGCCCCGGCTGGCCTTTTTTGCCTCAATATCCCAAATAGCAGTTATTTTGTGAGTAACAGATATTTTCCAGGGGGGGAACAAGGCTTGTGTACCTTGCCTGGCTTACTATATTTTACTGCATAATTGTTGCACTCTGATTTTTCAGTCAAAAAATTGGTTTATAACCTTTCGTTGCATAATCATCACATGGTATAATTAATCTTGTTCTTCATGCCACTTAAAAGATTAAACAGAGCAGCAAAGTATTCACCAGTGGCATATGGATGCACATTTGTCCTTGTGGACACTGCAAGCCAAGCCTAGAATTGTCTGTACAAGCTCATAAGTGCTGCAGTACTAAACAAGTGTCACTGAGGACAGCACCATCAGATAACAAACCCAATAATAAAATGGCAGAATCTTTGGACACAGATTTTTTAAGTCCATATTTTGCAAATTTTGTAAAATTTTCAAGTGTAATATTTCAACTATAATGCACAAATCCTGAAGAACTAATGTTTTTATTTTTTTCAGACCAGAAAAATGTTCAATAAACTGTCAAAGAAATGATCTTTGTTGATTTGGACTACTCAGTTTTAATGTATATTCACAAGCATTCCAAGCATCCTTCTCTTGCACTAAAGAAGTTCAATCATAAATGATATTTGAGTAATAACAGCAGAATTTTTTTAAAAAAAGAGCTGCACATAATAGTCACACTCCACTGGTTTTTTGTTTTTTTTTTTAATTTTTTTGTTAAGTTGTAGATGGACACAATACCTTTATTTTGTTTATTCAATTTGCTGATGTGGTGCTAGGGATCAAACCCAGTGCCTCACACATGCTAGGCAAGCACTGTACCACTGAGCCACAATCCCAGCCCCTACTTATTTTTTTATGTGGTGCTGAAGATCTAACCCAGCACCTCACACCTGCTAAGTAAGCACTCTATATACCACCGAGCTACAAATAAAAGCCCCCCACACTCTACTGTTCTTAAAAAAAATTGGCATAAAATCTGCAACAGGACAGGCCAGTGGCACACACTTATAATCCCAGTGGCTCGGGCTGGGGATGTGGCTCAAGCGGTAGCGCGCTCGCCTGGCATGCGTGCGGCCCAGGTTCGATCCTCAGCACCACATACAAAGATGTTGTGTCCGCCAAAAACTAAAAAACAAATATTAAAAAATTCTCTCTCTCTCTCTCTCTTACTCTCTCTTTAAAAAAAAAAAAATCCCAGTGGCTTAGGGGGCTGAGGCAGGATGATTATGAGTTCAAAGCCAGCCTCAGCAAAAGCGAGGCCCTAAACAACTCAGTGAGACACTGTCTCTAAATAAAATACAAAACAGGGCTGGGGATGTGGCTCAGTGGTTTTGAGTGACCCTGAGTTCAAACCCTGGTACCACCAGGAAACCTACAACAATTATACAGTGAAATATGGTATATATTTTTTGCATACCTCCTAAATTCAATTTCCTTTTGCATAAAAATCAAATACATAAAATAGAAATGTACCTTCTAGAAAACTAAGATATTTATAAAGAGACATCAAAGCAGTACAATCTGAAGTGGCTCAGTAAAGTATTTTTAAGATCAAAATCTAAAATTTCATAAAAATAAAGATCTCTACCAAGTCAGTTAAGAAATATGGGGAAAAATTGTCCACACATACGATATACCACCCCCAACAAAAAAATAAAAACTGAAAAATTACTCTCAGTACCAATGTTCAAGTATCAAACTTACTGTGACGTTTAAATTCCTTCTGCAGTTTACTGATCTGGTTGCTTTTTATCCTGTTTCCAGATAGAGTTTTTACTTTCTTTGGTTTCAAAGTAGTCTTTAGACTAGGTCCTGCTCTTGCGTCTACCACCTGGAAGGAAACACTGAATATTTAATACCATTGAAGAGTTATATGTATCCCTTTGGTTCAGACCCATGCCTATTTGAGAACCAGAGTTTTACAAAACTCAGAGTTTTACAAACCAGAGTTTTACAAAACTCAGAGTTTCTGAGGATTCATCTTTCATCATCACACAATATAAAGAATACTATTTATCTATTGGGTGTTTGTTTTTAAATTCTTTTTTTGAAATAATCACAGGGTCTGTGGGAAAAAAAGATTTAATAGATTTATGTTATGGGTTAATCATTACTAGATGACCCAACTAGGTGAAGAAGAATCAAGAATCAATTCTACAGGATGATGTATAACAATGTAAACAGCTTTCATTTATTTCTAATCCTACCACAAAGCAGTAAAGAGGCTCTTTTTGTTACTCTAATTTTAGTCTGAAGAAAATCAAGGTAATAAGAAAATTATGTATTTTGCGTTTTTCCATTAAGCTAATAAATAATCAAGGTGATTAGAGAGGAGACAAGACTGAAATCAAGGTCTTCAAATCTGTTCTTCATGTTCTTTTCACTATATAGTTGAATTCCTGAGGTCAGTTATGCAAAGGCAATACATGCTCCCCTATCTAGCCTGGCCATTGATCTATCCACGATGGTTCTACTATGGTACTATTTCTTGTGTGTTCATTCACATTTACTACTTGCAGATATGTATGTAAAAAGGAAGGTTGTCAGGCTGCAGTTGTGGCTCAGTGGTAGACCACTTGTGTAGCAAACATAAGTCACTGGATTCGATCCCCAGCATCACTTAAAAAATATTAAATAAAGATATTATGTCCATCTACAATTTAAAAAGTTTAAAAACCAAAGTTTTAAAGAAAAAAAAAAAGAGTGGTGCACAGTGGCACACACCTATATTCCCAGCGGCTCGGGAGATGGAGGCAGGAGGATCAAGAGTTCAAAGTCAGCCTCCGCAATTTAGCGAGGCGCTAAGCAGCTCAGTGAGACCCTATCTCTAAATAAAATAAAAAATAGCACTGGGGACTCAATGGTCAAGTCCCCCTGAGTTCAATCCCTAGTATCACCCCACACACAGAAAAGGTTGCCATCTTCAAAATCAGAATTTTTTTTTCCTTTTTTTTTTTCTTTTATTTATTTATTTAGTTAGTTAGTTCTCAGCGGACACAACATCTTTGTTGGTATGTGGTGCTGAGGATCGAACCCGGGTCGCACGCATGCCAGGCGAGCGCGCTACCGCTTGAGCCGTATCCCCAGCCCAAAAAATCAGAATTTTAATCTTCTCCAGGTGAACTATTTAAGAAAAATTCATAGTTAGTAAGGTTAACAGATCCAAAAAAAATCTATCACAATAATTTAACATTGTCATCAAAAGACAGACTAAGGATAATAGAGGAAAAGATAAAGAAAAAATGCTTGTCTACTTAAAAACAATACTTTGTGGAAATTTCATGGAACTGAAAAGAGATCATATTAAGTAACACTTGGAGCTGAGGGGGAGCTAGCAGTAAAAAGCACTTGCCTGGGGTATGCCAGACCCTGCGGCTCCAAACAAATTTAAATGTGTTGTTCTAATTTATCAAAAACTAAAAAAATTGTGTTGGTAGATATTTGAGTAATAACATGTGCCTCGCATGCACAAGGCCCTGGGTTCAATCCCCAGCACCACACTCACAAAAAAAAGTTCTAGTGACATGGGAAAATAAAAGGGCTAAAATTTCCAGTTTGAACAACTAGATTTAAATAGATTAAAAACAACTTCAATCTAACTGATTATTATATGCTTTACTTTATATACCATCTCATTGTTCTCACATTAGCTATGTGTGATAACTGTTTTGCCCTTTGTAAATAAATATAACCTGCCTAAAGTCCACAACTACTGTAAGTGGTAAAAGATCCAAACCCCAGGTGTTATTCTAAAACCTATATGGCTCATTAGTACCAACCTGAATTCAAATAAACATGTTATTCTAAGAGTTAAAAAAAAAAAAATCCATGTCTAACTCTGGGTACTTAAGATATGTGAATATGCACTGTGAATTGGATACTGCCTTATGAAATGCCACACCTGGCTATTCTGTTCCAAACATATCAACATGGTAAATGATTATATATCTGAGCAGCAAGTAGTGTTATTTTTTATTCTTCAAACTTTGCCATCCTAGGCATATTACTTCCTAAAGTAGAAAGAAATTCATGTTACTTTAAATATAATAGAGATATAACTGATAAAAACAGATGAACTAACATGATTCCAGTTTTTTTTTGAACCTGCTGGTAACTTCTTCCATCTTTTCACAAGAAGAACACAGGCATTACAGATGTCTCCTGAACGAGTCTCATGCAACCTGATGATAAACAATAAAACCTGTATTAGTCGCTTTAGTTTAAAGGATACACACAAATACATTTCTCCTGGAAAAAAAAAATTCATTTATGACTTATAGATGCAATTTCTAATCATTGTAGATTGCCTAGTCCTTTGTTTCAGGGACATATTTCAGAAATATAATTAACTTCTATAGAGGCAATGAAACAAGTCTACATACTCCAATTTGGTAATTTTAAAATAAGAAGAAATGAATCAGTAACAATTTTAAATATTTGTAAAACAAAATAATAAGACTTACGATCTAGAAGAGAGCCTGATCACCATGGTTTTAAGCAATGCTGTCATTCTTGAAATATGTAGATATTGCATTAAGCAATAAAATGCCACATTTTAAGTAAAATAATGTATCATGATGTTCCAATTTCACAACAAAAAAAAGATGTATTGTAATTTTTAAAGTGATTTTTTAATCTGTATAGTGAGAAAAATCTATAGGACTAGTTGTCAAATATTTTTAAGCTGTAATACAAAAACAAATTCATTTTGAATATGGGAAATGGTTCAACATTAAACATTTTAAGCCAGGTACAGTGGCACACACCTGTAACCCCAGCAACTCGGAGATGAGAGAATCACGAATTCAAGTTCAGCCTCAGCAACTTGTAGAGACCATGTCTCAAAAATTGAAATAAAAGGAGCTGGGGTTGTGGCTCAATGATATAGAGCGCGTGCCTTCCATGTGTGAGATGCTGGGTTCAATCCTCGGCACCACATAAAAATAAATAAATGTCGTGTCCATCTACAACTAAAAAAATTTTTTTTTTTAAAATTTGAAATATAACAAACACTTTTATCCAGTGTTTGTTGGAGAATAAGTTTCATCTTATTGGGGCCAGGGTTGTGGCTCAGTGGTAGAGCACTTGCCTAGCATGTGTGAGGCACTGGGTTCCATCCCCGGCACCACATAAAAATAGAAACAAATAAATAAAGGTACTGTGTCCATCTAGAACTAAAAAAAAATTTTAAAAAAATAGTTTCATCTTATTAAGCAAAGGTTTATTGCCATAAATGAGGAATATAATTATGAAACAAAACCATACATACCCTGAGCAGGTTTCAGGGCAGAAAATTTTATCATCATCTTCCTCTGTTAAGTTAGATTACAGTATGAAATACTAAGAACCACTATTAATAAGAGAATAAAGATAATCTTTAAAAATCTCTTTATATCATGAAGATAACAAAAGGGTTTGTCTAATTAGAACTATAAGGGGCTCACAATTTGGTTGTTAGCTCCTAGTAATATGAAAAAAAAAAATTAGGCTGTCAGCATTGTTTCATTTATTTTAAGAAGAGAAACCTTAAATAGCCTAGATTAGAATATAAATGATCTGAATTATTTAAAATGGTACAAACATCAACTGATCTTACCCAAAACAGCTCTGGAAGTCCTTTTCATAACGTTTACTATCAGTGAATCGAGAACTGGAGGACTTAGCTCTGCAAATACAGCAACCTTCTATACTTCGGTACATCTTTGGCTTGTGAAAACCAAACATCTTTTCTTCTGGGCAAAAGCCTGTAAAGTCAAGGGAATTGACACAGCTTTGTTGAGGGATATAAGAAGAAAACATTAAGACAGGCATGGTGGTGCAAACCTATAATCCCACTGATTTGGGAGGCTGAGGCAAAAGGATCCTAAGTTCAAAGCTAGCTTCAACAATTTAGCAAGGACACCCTTAGCAACTTAGAGAGACCCTATTTCAAAAAAAAAAAAGAAGTGGGGGACCTGGGGATATGGCTCTGTGGTCAAACTCCCTGGGTTCAATCCCTAGTACCAAAAAAGAAAAAAGAAAACATTAAGATTTTTTTTTGTTCCATCCCACCCCCAAGCAACTTGGGTGTTTCATGACCAAGGTGAAGAGGCCTGCTCTGGGAAAGCACTTCTGCATCTATCATCATTTTTGGCACTACCATGGCAAGTGTATAAAACCACAAAATAGTCCGTTTGGGAGGTTTCTACCTCCTAGCCTAGCCAATACTCATTATTCCAAAAATGGAAAAGGAGAGCATTTTTTTTTTTTTTAGAGAGAGAGAGAATTTTTTAATATTTATTTTTTAGTTTTCGGGGAACACAACATCTTTGTTTGTATGTGGTGCTGAGGATCGAACCCGGGCCGCGTGCATGCCAGGCGAGCGCGCTACTGCTTGAGCCACATCCCCAGCCCATTTTTTTTTTCTTAAATCAAGTTTTAAAGCAAAAAAAAAAAAAAAAAAAAAGGCCACCACAAGTCCTACAAAATGACAAAAATCACAATCAAGGATGCATCCTAAAATTTAAGATTCACCTTAGTATTCTGCACCTTTGTAATTAATGGGATTTCCCTCTGGGGAAATTTTGTGCATTTACCATGACCACTACACTTCAAACTAAAATAGCACACTATGCATCAACCCACATCACTTTGCTCTATGGGAAATTAGGGGGGATTTCTTCTATAAAAAATGGGAAGTTCTAAGCAGTCAATGTTGGCCCTGAATTATAACTGCTGAAAGGAAAATGAAAGCTTCACAGAAATCTAAGCTTAGAATTTATAAATAATTAAAAAAAATCCATGCTGGGGGTGTAGTTCAGAGGTAGAGCACTTGTCTAGCATGTGCAAGGCCTTGGGTACAATCACCAGTACTGAAAAAAATAATAATTCTATTAATCATTAATTCAAATTAACAATGAGCTCATATTGCCTGACCATTGCTCTGCTCCTCATAAAGTTTTTGGAAGTATTCTATGAGGCTTTGTGCTAGAGCAGTGAATAGTGAGAAGCAAATGTTCAGAAATACAGAATGAAATAAAATATAATTCTCCTGGTCAAAATAATCTCAATATCAAGGAAGGATGAAAACATCTCTAGGCCTGGATACAAAAATGTATATCTTAGAATTTGGAATATCCAAACCAAACCAGCACACCTAGACTAAGAAAAGTGATGAAAAGGTAATGAATATAGAAACTAAACCCCAATGGGCAAGTGCAGAGGTTATGTTAGTGTATGTGCAAGGGTCCAACTGATGATCACAAAAGCATCATATAAAGCATGAACAGATAATTATCATAGTTCTAGAAGGTATAACCACAGAATACCATCCATTCTTTCTGTTTTGTTTTGGTGGGGAGGGTACTGGACACTGAATCTAGGGATGGTTTACCACTGAGCTAGGTACCCGTTCTTTTCTTTTTTTATTTTAAGATAGCATCCAAGATGCCCAGGCTGACTTCCAATTTGTGATCCTCCTCCCTCAGCTTCCTGAGCTGCTGGGATTACAGGTGTGAGCCACCGTGGTCAGCTGGTTTTACAATGTTTTTAAAAATAGCTTAAAAGACTTTTATTAGAAAATAATTGGCTAAAAGCTGAAACTTCCCTTTTAAACAGATTTATTGTTAACCACATGTTCCTTTTTGATGTTTTATTGGTGAAGATGCAGCCAAAAGAGTGGGATGAGGCAAAACAGAAGACCACTTATGCATTTCAATGATTAAGCCTAAACTAAGTTACCTATAAGAATTGTTAAAAGGGCTGGGGATGTGGCTCAAGCGATAGCACGCTCCCCTGGCATGCGTGTGGCCCGGGTTCAATCCTCAGCACCACATACAAAGAAAGATGTTGTGTCCGCCGGAAAAAACTAAAAAATAAATATTAAAAAATTCTCTCTTTCTCTTTCTCTCTCTCTTAAAAAAAAAGAATTGTTAAAACAAGATAGCATAATATTCTTATCATAATCATTTTAGTTCAATGCTTGGGGATTTTTTTTTTTAATGAAAAAGAAAGTACCCTCTACATAGTAAGGAAAGGTTTGGGGCATATATCTTTTTCAATCTAACAAAGCAACCTACATGAGAACTGAAAAAGAAAAGGTCCTCCCCCAAAAATGGTCATGTGTTGCTTTGGAAAAAGTAATATTAAAAAAAGAAAGAAAAGAAAAAGCAATATCAAATGACAGGACTATAGAACAGGAAAGTAGAAGTTAATGTTTTAATTTGTATATTCCTATTTTAAAGTAAACTGTAATACAGATTCTGTCCTAGAAACATCCTGTGATCTCCAAACTCCCTAACACCCTGCCTCTGAGGTCAAAAGTCCACAGTTCCTCTTACAATCATCAATAGCTCTAGGAAACTTCAGCCTCTCTCCTCAGCAAGGACAAAGGAAGTACATACACAAAAAAAATGAGCAGTTCATTCCATTAATACACAAATCCTATTATAACAGATAGATTCCCCAATCAGATTCCCCAATCCCCACCCTCACAATCTCTTTCTTTACCTCCCAAAACTATGAGAGCAAAACTATGCAGCACTCAAATCATCTCTAAGTTTTAACTGCCTTCATTAAAGCTGGATTTGGCCAAGAAGCCAGAGTTTGTCCCAGTTATCACAATGGAAAGCTAACAGAATGTTATGACTGAGGCTTTCTTTTTAACCAACAGCTAATGTGAATCCAGTGTTCATCTTAAGTGATTTTTTGTTGGTGGGGACCAAACTTAGTCACTAGTCCCTGGCAAGACATTTCATTCTTCATTTGAGGAATATTCTTCCTAAACATCAGGAAACAGCTTGATACCTTAGGACTCATAATTCCTCTTTACATAGCTCTATGACCTTACTTTTGTCCTAATGAAACTTTTCTGACAGAATCCCTAAACAACTTAGCAAGACCAAAATTAAAAATAAAAAGAGCTGGGGGGGGGGGGGTTGTGGCTTAGCGGTAGCGCGCTCGCCTAGTACGTTTGAGGTCCTGGGTTCAATCCTCAGCACCACATAAACATAAATATAGATATTGTGTCCAACTACAACTAAAAAATAAATAGATAGGTAGATAGATAGACAGACAGATAGACAAATGCAAGCACTGGGGAATGTGGATCAGTGGTTAAGGGCTCCTGGGTTCAATCCTAGGTACCCCCAACTGCCAAAAAAAAAAAATTCTGCCTGAACATGAGGGGAATCTAAACCCTAGGCTTCACCATTTTCCAGTCAGTGTTCAGTGAGAAATGGAGTGGGATGGCAGACACTTGCTCTGATACAACATCCAAGTTGCACATGAACCTTTTTTTTTTTACTTTTTTAAAATATATTTAATTGTAGATGAACATAATACCTTTATTTTTATTTTTATTTTTTTATGTGGTGTTGAGGATGGAACCCAATGCCTCACACGTGAGGCAGGTACTCTATCACTGAGGCAGGCACTCTACCACTGAGGCACATGAACCTTTTAAAGGATGACTACTTAATAAAGCTATTAAGGTTTTTTCTGAGCTTATTTCTGCACTTTAGAGGCACCTGGGAATCTGCAGCAAATACACAGGGGTTTCATTTTGGGCTTTGTTTACAGCAACCCAGGTAAGCAGTAGTTGGTGTTTAACCATTCTTCAGGTTTGGGGAGCCCTAATGTTAACTGGAAAAAAAATTTAAGTCAATGCTCACTCATGTTTTAAAACAAACTGGGCATGGTAAGACATATCTATCTGTAATCCCAGAGACTCCGGAAGGGTGAGATAGGAGGATTGCAAGTCCAAGGCTATGTAAGAGCAAAGCCCCATCTCAAAAAATAAAAAGGGCTAAAGGCTGGAGATAAAGCTTAGTTGGTAGAGTGCTTGCTTAACATGCAGCTCAGTGTAAAAGCCTTGAGTTAAATCCCCAAACAAACATCCCTACCAAATTTCTGGAGTAAAAGTAAGGACATAAAATGGCTTCTGAAACCAAGTTTCTGAATATTTTTGAGAAAGTAGAGAGCTGGTGTGGCATAATTTGATTTTAAATGTCATTTGTTATTTGAAATGGTATGATAGTTCTCTCGAACTCTTTCCTAGTCCTACACTTGTGAAATATTAAATAATTCCTCCACAATCTATCTTATTTGTTCAAATAACAAGTTAGCTATTAAATTCTTTGCACCTTTTAAATCTATTCTGGGTTAAAAGCATCACACCTTTCAGCACTGTTTTAATAGATGGAGGCAAATACCATCCACTTCCTAACTGATGAACAATTACAGTGGAAGGCAGACTCTACACAATCTTACCTTTAAGGGTGCATTTAGGGAGAACAGAAGAAAATTAAGCTTTGTGATAAACCCAAAAATAAGGGAGGATTTAAAATATTATAAAAATTTGTCTTCCAAAGTTAAATAGCAATGATGACTGCAGAACTTGGTCAACATACTAAAGGCCACCAAATTGCATACATTATGATGTGAAGTTTATGGCATGTGAATTTATTATAAGCCTCTTTCTTAAAGATACACTTAAATGAGTTGGGAATTCTCCTGTCTTTATCATCTTCATAACCTCAGCGTCTATGATAGCACTAGTATCAGAGAATACTCAATAAATGTGGCTTTTTTAAGAATTTTAACCAGGGATTGAACCCAGGGGTGCTCAATTATAAAGCCACATCCGTAGTCCTTTTCATTTTTTGAGACAGGGTCTTGCTAAGTTGCTTAGGGCCTCATGACTAAACTTTTGTTAATATGCTGTCATTTGCCAAATGCAGTGGCACAAATGCATAATTTCCAGCTACTTGTGAGGATCACAGGTTCAAGAACTGCCTGAGACCTTTAATGAGACCCTGCCTCAAAAATAAAGAGACTGGGGACTGTCGTTCAGTGGTAAAGCACTCCTTGGTTCAGTCCCCAGCACCACAAATATAAATTATTTTAAAAGCTGTCATTTGTATAACACTTTACCTTTGATAAATATTTGACAAAGTACATTCATTGACATATTTCCTTAGCTACTATTGACTAAACACTCAAATTTTTAGAATTACTGTAACAGTTAAAAACAAATCAGCTACCCTAAAATTTTAGTTCTGTCAATTTAAGTGAACCTCCCAAATTTCAAATAAATCAGCAAAAGTGGTAAGAAATAACTAACTATACAAACAAAATATCAAAGAGACCAAAAAGTGACATTTCAAAATACAAAAATTAATTCTAAACATCTGTTGGGGATTTTTCTACCTACTGTTGATTTTCATATAAATCTAATGATCATCTCAATGAAAACATGGGGAATGTAATGTTGGTGTTGATGAGTCAAGAAAAGGATAAAGAGGGGCTGGGATTGTGGCTCAGTGGTAGAGCAGGACCAGGGTTCAATCCTTGGCACCACATAAAAATAAAGGCATTGTGTTGTGTCCATCTACACCTAAAAAATAAATATTAAAAAGAAAAAGAAAAGAATAAGAGCACCCTATATATATCAAAGATGTAAAGGGTCAATTTGAATGAGATTGTGAAGCCAAAGATGATGAGATAATGTCTAATATTTTACCTAATTTAACACACTTAAGTTCACTGTGTATAACATAAATAGTATGGAAAAAGAATTTCTACTGTAAGTCAATATTGTAGGAAGACCATTTAAGTTTTCTGATAATGTTGAAGATGACCTTTTAAAAATATTAATACCAAATACTAATACTGAAATGCAAATTTCAGTTTTAATATCCTTTTTAGCATGGAATTGGGTGAAAAGTTGAAGAAATTACTTCTGTCCAGCATTTTTTATCTCTTTTTAATCTTACAAGCTTGTTAACTTTTTTTTTTTTTTTTTTTTTTTAAATATTTATTTATTTATTTATTTTAGTTTTCGGCGGACACAACATCTTTGTTTGTATGTGGTGCTGAGGATCGAACCCGGGCTGCACGCATGCCAGGCGAGCGCGCTACCGCTTGAGCCACATCCCCAGCCCCAAGCTTGTTAACTTAATACTTAGGTAAATGGAGAGAGTTCTTATTATAAATGTAACATTTGTTAGACTCACCTTAATTGATTGTTTATGGCTTTAAAGGATACCAATAGTTTCTCCAATACAGTAACTTCCCAATTCCACTTTCTAGAGTTGTACTTCTGACTGTTTTACATTCAAACATACCTTTCAAAACTCAAAAATTCCCCTGGATGGACTATATGGAAGAAAACTAAGAGAAGTAGCCAAAGGTGGTAAATCAACAGTTAATTTCACAACTTGTCCATGCCATCTTGGGAACTGAAATTCTGATAGGCACAAATTAGGAAAGCAACCAACCTCCCAAGTGAAAATATTCTTAGATTACAATAAACTAAAACCTTATAGCTTCTAGTCATCATGTTTTCTTTCTAAAAATCAACAACCTAGACCTAAACAAACACACACAAACATTTGAAATGACCTAATGTCCATAGATTATCAGACTAGTACTATAAAAAACTGTTTCATTCCTTATGTCCAAAATATCTTGTTCTATATAACGAGCACAGACTGTTTTAAAAGTGAGAACTTCATAGTAAACAGTAGTTGCCTCTGAATGAGCATGAATGAAGGCAGCTTACTTTCACTTTGCTCCCTTCTATACAGCTATCTTTTTTAAATCAAGAGCATCACTCCCCCATAACTCTGGTTATCATCACACACCTTCGTTTAACTAAAAGAGGAAACCGAAAGAAGCCCAGAGGGCTTAAATAAACTTCCTCAAAGATCTACAGATGGAGAGATACATGTTAGAAAATACATTACACGGGACAGATTACAGAATGGACTAGTGAAATCAGAATAGACAACAGCAGAATGGGAAGGAAACTGCCCAGAGGAGACAAGCAAAAGATTTGTAAAATGGGAAGGAAGCAGCGATGAACAAAGACAAAAGGAACCAAGCAACCAAAGACAACTTTGAAGTGAAAAGAGATGCATTTCTTTTAGAGCCAAGCTTTAAATGACAGGATGATGGGAAAGGAAGAAAAATAAGCATTAAAAAAAAAAAACCCTGTTGATCACATGCTGTGGGATACTAGAGTTGCTGTAATGGGTTATGCCACCATTTTAGTCAATCGTATACTATCTTTAATCATCTGTAAATACAGGATCCAGTAAACACTAACAGTGTAACTAGAGCAACACTCTTCACAAAGGGTCAACAGGACCTAAGCGCTTTGTATTCTCCCGCTGCTAGGCCACTTGGTTGTAGTATTCACCAACAATGAAACATATCTCATCAGCGCTTAAGGAAGCCATGGAACAATAAAACATTATTATTTCCTCTTACCTGCTTCCAGATACCAGCATTACGTCCCAGCTTTAAAGGTTCTGAATTTAATCACTTAAGAGATAAAATTTAAATCTGCCTGGAAGAAATGAAAAAGGGGTGTTGGACCCCCACTTGCTTGCCAACAGCTTTTACACACACACATACCCTGTCTCTTATAAAATATGGAAAAACATTTATAACTGTGGCTGTCTACAGGATCCATAATTGGCTGAGGAGCCTAAAACTTATCCTACAGAAAAGGGGTCCAAACTAAAAACAAGCCTTCAGCTAAAGCAGCACAGATTGAAAATAAAAATCACAAATCCAGACTTTAGATAGTATAAAAAAATACTAGTTATCCCAATTCTACATTAAGAGTGATTCCAGAGGATAAGGAAGTTGAAGGGGTTGGAGAGTCTTTATTTGCTTTTAAGGGATGATTATCAGTTACAAAATGTTAACTATAGTGAGCAATGAAAAAAGTACTATGGGTCAACTTGATATCTATTTGGGTTCTGTCTTTACAACTTAATAGGAAGTAACTTTTAATTTTATTTGCCTCTTTGTATATTAGGATAAAAAAATCTCACTTCTACTTTCCAAGGATGCTGCTGTGAAACAAGTATAAGAAAATACAAGTGCTTGTGCTCACGGTTTTTTCCCTTGAATTTAAGACTTGCACATTACAGAAATGTAAATTCTGTCTTTACCAGGATATATCCAACAAATTAAATGAAAGTTCTCCCTATTTTAAGGTTTTAAGTCTAGGCCTGCAGGAAAAGAGGAACTTGATCTTTTTAAGGAGACTTTACAGTTATAATAGGCCCATAGTCCTTTCTTATGAAGATGTTTTTCATTTTCAGGCTTGATAAAAATGTTAAGAAAAGGGATGTGGGCCATCCATAGTGGTATGTACCTGTAATCCCAGCTACTCAATAGCCTGAGGCAGAAGAATCTCAAATTTGAGGCCAGCCTGGGTAACACAGAAAGACCCCATCTCAAAATAAAAAATGAAGGGCCAGGGGTTAGCTCAGTAGGCCCTGAGTTCAATCCCCAGGACAAGAAAAAAGAAAAAAGAAAGGGGTTATGGTAAACACAGACCTGATCTAACCCAAACCTCGGTAAATTTCCCTAACCTTTCTGACCCTTTTGCTTCCTCATCTATAAAATAGTGATAAATTCTAACTCTTGAATATCTTTAAAGTAACAACAAGAAGTGGTACTTTACACTCAGTTCTGACAGTTCTTTTGATACATGAATCTTTCCCTTTTCTGTTCTCTAACATTTCAGATATCATTCTGCTTTCTGTTTGGGGCATCCACTCTCTGGAAGTTACCAACACCCTTAATGGTAATTTCCCAATATTCATGTCCTGCTTCAACCTCTTATTTTTGCTGTAGCTCAATAGAGCCAATTGGTCAATTTTAATCCTTATATGCCCTTTTAAATTGGTTACATAACTTACCCTTCTAAATCTTTTCTTCCTGTGTTTACCTGTCTTGGTTATTACCCACAGTTACACACACACAAATCTGAAGTCAACCAGTCTCTTCCTTCTCATTCTCTCCAGGATCCCCCATCAAGAGATCTATGAGATCCTTTAGAGATCTGCTTCTTCCCTTCTCATATCCTCCTCTCCATCCCTACTGCCTGTTTGTCCTTCATCTTGGTGCTTGGTCTCCTGTTAGGACCTCATAACTGAATTCTCTACATCCTTCCAACAGGTACTATCTTCCTAAAACTCAAATTTAAATCTTCCCTTCCACAGTATCAACCCTGACTTTAGGATAATATCTAACCTCCTTGGCAAAGATTTCAAAGCTCTTCAGGATCTAGTCCTGCCTACTAGCTGCTCCCAGGTTGGAACTCTTATATTCTGTGAGTATCAGACCAATTTTAACAACTAGCCATTCTGTTACTCAGTATGAGATGGTATCCTTCCCATTCCCTAAACCTGGGAAATTATTTTAAGAATTCTACCCAGGTGTATGCCTGTAATCCCAGCAGCTCCAGGGGCTGAGACAGGAGGATTGCCAGCTTCAAGCAATGGTGAGACCCCGTCTCCAAATAAAATACAATAGGGCTGGGGATGTGGCTCAGTGGTCAAGTGCCCCTGAGTTCAATCCCTGGTACCAAATTTAAAAAATAATTCTTTAATAATTTTTACAAAACTATTCCATACCCACTTTAGAACACCTGCCCAAACAATATATCACTTACTTGTTTATTTGTATTACCTACTCTGAGTTCCTTTTCTTTAACCTTTGGTCTATAAATTGTGAGGTTTAAAGATTCCCAGGAGGGGCTGGGGATGTGGCTCAAGTGGTAGCGCGCTCGCCTGGCATGTGTGTGGCCCGGGTTGGATCCTCAGCACCACATACACACAAAAGATGTGTCTGCCGAAAACTAAAAAATAAAATAGATTTCCTGGAAATGTAAATTGAATGAATTACTGAAGAGAAGAATGAATGGTAAACAATTTTCAAAACTGGTAGGAAAAAGATTTCATGCTTATTTCTAATGGGAGTGTGGGGAGATTAGCAGACTAATGTGGGGGAAAATGAGAACTACTGCAATTCAGCATAGACTACCATTAACCAAATTACAATAACCAATAGGTGGAAACAACTAAATACAACATTAGAAGTGAATTAATTTAGCCTAGTTGCAACTTTCATACTTGAATATATAATAGCAAATATACCTAGAACTTTAATATCACTGATGCAAGAAGAAAACCTCCTTACATTGAAAACAAGAACCTGTCTTTTGGACTAGATTTCCAGATTATTTCCATAGTACAAAAAATTTTAGTTACATATACAATTAAAAGAAACACTGGAGAACCAAGACAATAAAAATCCCCACAGAATCAAAACTAAATGTCAAAAATACAAGACATTCCTGTGGACAAGGGAAATCAGCAAGAAAGAAAAGTGGCCTTTTCTAGGTCTAGAGAGGGCTTTCTGATGTAAAATGGTTCAATCAGAATTGGAAAGGCAACCAGGAGTTGAAGGCAGTGTCTTCCCAGAACCGGTTTCTGAAAGTGGGGGAAGGGGCCAAACATTCACTCTTTCCATTCAACATTTACTGAATGTTTCTCTGGGCAAGGTAATTGACAAAGGTCTCAGTTTTATCTTATGTAAAATGTCTGCTTACCAATGTTGTGAGGATAAGAGCAGCCAGTATTTATTAACCATATCACTTGCTTAATAATTTACAACTCCATGAGATAGATTCGACTGCCATTTCACAGATGAGAAAACTGGACCACAAAGTAACTCTGAGATGGATGATGGATGATCACAGCTTTGGAAACTAGGCTGTCCGATCTCAGATCCAGAAACTTCTGAACCACTAACCCAAGTGCGCTGTAAAAAACATGTTCCCCTTCTTCTCAATTATATTCCTACCATCTCTGAAGTTAATAGAAAATGACATATCTCTAAAGCAACCTATGTGCCTGCAATGGTAAAGTAATTAACTGTCCTCATAACAGCCTTATAAAGTTGGTTTGGGTTTCAAATAAGCTTCAGTTTATTTTACAAGGAGAAAAATCACACTCAAATTATGTTGCTGACAGAAATGTTCCTGAGTCTGAGCTCAGGGTCAAATATTTTCCCAAGACCTAATTAATACAGTGGGGCACAGGGAATGGAGGGGACAAAAGAACTTGACCATACAGATTTCAGATACATAGAAATAAAAAAGAATACTGTGAAACAGCAGCCTTAGAGCCTGTTGTCCATCAAGATTCTAGAATATTCTACCCATTGACTTTTCATCTCCAATCTCCCACAAAATACCAACAGAAGATAGTGGAGTCCCTGTCTGTCTTTCCCACCCTAATTCCCCTTGATAAACCAAATCTTTTGTTATATACACCATCTGATTATTAGAATGAAAGCATTAAGTTCTATGGTATTTAAAATTTCCCAGGATACAGAAATTCTACCAGTAACTGAGATATGAAGAACTAAGAAAAACAATCTCAATCTATGTGCAAAACACCTCTCAGGCATTTTAAATACATGAAAAATAATAGCCTGAAGGAAAACCAAAATTTACTATGTTCAAGGTTTTTCATTTTCATGACCTGGCTCTTCCTATTCACTTCAGAAATGTACTGATACTGGTTGCCTTTCAGTATTTGTAATTTGGTCATCCAAAACTTAGGAGGAATGTGTTCTTTAAACAATGAAAAGAAAAACTGGTTTTCAATTTTTATGGAATTTTTGGTGTGTATGTGCAAAACATTTAAGGACATTATTTTCCAGTCATAACCATTTCTAAACTAACCCTTAAACGGATTAGAACAGTAGAAATCACGAAAGAAGCAAAGAAGCAACAGATATGGTGCTGCTTATCGAATGTCTAGACTGCAGGCAAACCCCAAATACCAAAGAAGCATCCATGTGTCAAACCAGTATAATTTTTTGAGCTATGCCTGAGGCCACATACTCCCGCCCCCCAAAAAAAGAAACCACCAAGGAGGGGTTGTAACCAGAAGGTCAACCCCAGTTCACAGGAACTAGGGAGAAACTAGAAGGGTCAAGCTAGCTAGCCATTACCAGTGTCATCTTCCGGAGCAGCTTCCTCACCAGCCCCTTATAATATCTCTGAAAGGCCCAACCCCCTTAACGTTTGCTTCCTCAAGGTCATGCTAAGATAATGCATTTGAATACTTGAGTCGCACACACCTAGGCCAAAAAAGATCCCCTCTCCCAAAATCATCACATAAAATGCCATTAGCCCTTGCTCCGGAACTTCATCAGAAACTCCCAGACTTAAGGCTGGGCAACTAAATGTGTTCAGTTCTGCAACATCAATTATTAAAGGGCTTTTCAAGTCTGGCAAACTAGCAATTCCAAAGCAGGTGCTTTCAGTGTACTTTTAATGATAAGGTCAAATTCATTTTAATTATTAAAAGAAAAAGAAAAAAGTTGTCTTTAAACTTCCTTGGGACAACGTCAGCAAGGGAAAACCAATGCTGGGATAAAACTGTAACAGGGTCCCTGTTTGGCTAAACAGTAATTCCTCCTCTTCTGAGTGCCCGCAGTAAATGGAAGGTTAGAAGGAGAAAATAAAAACAAAGAAACTGACTGGGGTCATAGTTACCAGCACAAACTCCGCACCACCTTCCCGCCCCAAGAAACCCACCCCAACCAAAACAAACCTGCCCTTCCCGGTTTCCCCCTCCCACACCAAAGCACACAAAGCCTGCTGGCACGCACGATTCGCCCACAGACCTGGCTTCCCTCAGCAGGGCAACCAGGCGCCCCGAAACTTCCCCACGGGGCTTTTCGGGTGTCGTCCGGGTAGGGCCCCTGGACGTGCGAGGACGCTCGCGTGGAGGAGGGGCTAGCGGCACTCGCCCGTTTCCCCGAAAGCAGCAAAATGCCTCCCGCGTGCTCTCCCGGGGTCTCGCCCCCCCCCAAACTGCGCGTCCCCTCGACACGTGGCGACCGCGGAGAGAGACACCAGGCGGCAAATAGAAATGCTCCCTGGTGGATTTGTTGGTAAATAAAACATCACGGGTCGGGAAGAAAGAAAGTTCCTGTGAAGGGCGGCTCGCCAGGGCGAGGGCAGCGGGAGGTGAACCGCATCCCCCGCAGTCGCCTCCCTCACCTGAGTGGGAACAACGGGCCCCCGCGCCCGCCCGGCCCGCCTGGCGCCTCCCGCAGGCCGCGCCTCCCGCACGCCGCGCTGCTGGGGCTTGTTCCTCCTCATGGCTTTGCCCTGACGTAATTCAAACATGGCAACAGTTCGACTTCAAAGGCGAATCCACAGACCTCCCAGACGCAGACTCCCGGGCCACCAGTAACGGCCCGAAAAGTCCGAGTCTAGCTCTCCTCGACCCTCACCGGCCGCGGCCCCCGGAGCCTGGGCTGAAGCGCTGGGGGCCCGACTCGGTCGCCTCACCCGCGCGCCCGGAGCAGGGAAGCACGCCGCCTCCCTGCGCACCAGCATGGCACCTAGCACAAGTCGCGCCGCCAAAGTTTCCCCACGAGGGCCTGAGGGACAAAAGCCCCTCCCGACACTCGCCCAAACTTCGGGGCCCCTGGCCCGCATGGCCCTCCGCCCGGCCGTCGCCCCGAGTGCCGCGGGGCCCACACGGGCACATGCAGCTCTTTGTTTTCTGTCCAGCCCGGCACTGCCTACGTGCAGCATCAAGGATGTCGGAGTGTTTCTCAGGGGCGAGACACTTGACGAGCACCTCCGGGAAGGGTCCCGACCCGCGTCCCGAGGGTCCGGAGCCCCGTCCTCCCGTCCTCCCCTCGGCAAAGAGCCCATTTAATCAAAGTTTTGCAGTGTCCTTGATGAGAAATGCCCGGATTGCCCGCCCCGCACAGGCTGAGAGTTGGCGACTTTCACTCTGCTTTTTAAACTGGCAGGACGCCATCATCAGCGAATCACATTGTCCTGCCGGCCGGACCTGCCCGACAGCGACCGCATCCCACAGCTCACAAGGAGCTGGACATTCAGACCCAGAGCAGGATTGCTGCCCGAAGCACGTGGTCTGTCATGTTGAGCACAAAAAGCGGTGCCCTCCGGAGTTCGCTCGCTCCCGCAGCGCAGACAGCGCCACTGCCTCCATCCCCCAGGAACTTAGCTTAACTGGCCATCTTAAACCGCAGGCGGTCACCCTCCGAATGGGAAGCCCTCGAGTAGCGCCCACACCTACGCTACAGGTGAATAAATGGGGAGCAAAACTTCGGGCTGCAAAGACACCTCGGCCACCAGCGGCTGTTGGGCGCGGTCCGCGGACAGCAGGCGTGTGGAAGCCAGGCTGTTTTTAAGCGACCGCGTGTTGCTCTCATTGTAGCATCCGCATCCCCCCGGAGTTCGGCAAACAACGCCACGCCGCGTGCGCTCCCGAGAAACCCGGGGCTGACCACCGAAGGCCGATTTAAACCCCCTAGCGCCGCCAGCTCGGAAAGGAGATGGCAACTTAGTTTTCGAGCGATGGCGTTTATTGTCCACCCTATCAAAACACATGCAGGGGGCTGCGTTCAAACTACAGAACGAGGTTTCACAACGGCGCCCGACCCTCCTCGGGCTCGCGCCCACGCGGACGCACGACCCCGGGCGGCCCCGCGACTGCCAGCAAGTCATTTTCCTCCCGGGCCTTCCAGCCACCGGGTTCCCTTTCGCTAGGGAACACTGCGGCTGCGAAAAGTCATTGTCACCTTCAACGTGGATCCCTCAACTCCGCGACTCCTCAGTCATTTCCAGGATCCACTCACTTCCCCCGGCCCCCGACTTTCGGTTTACCTCAAATACCCTCCCCAATTATTGAGTACACGTTAAACATGTACACACAAAAGACTCCGGGGTCTGAAAATCACAAAAACAGCGCTCCCAGCAATGCCATCTCCAAGACAAAACTTCCTGTGTTTGTGTGTGCGTGTGTGTGTATGTGTGTAAGGGCTGGGGGGAGGTGGGTGAGGTGAAAGAGGAAAAAAAAAAAACACTCTGAAATCAAAGCCTGTGAGACAGTTTTGCACCAGAGTAATGATCAGAGTCACTCACCTTCCCAAAACTGCCGATCCACGCGCAATAGCGTCCCCGAGGTGCGGAGTGCACACCAGGCCAACCCCCTCCAAGCGCTCCCTCCTCAACTGCCTTGTCTAGAAAGATTGTCTCCTGCAGTTCTGCAGTTGCTACCGCCGGACGGGAAGGTGTAGATTCCTCTTTCCCTCTGCGCACGCGCGGCTCCCGGTACAAAATTCTCTTGAATCGAACTTATTTGCATACGGGCGCGCGCGCGTCGCGGACTGGGAGGGGAGAAGGCCGGGCGGCCGCGCGCGCTCCCGGGGCCTCTATTGTCCTTTTAAGGGGAGAAGTACCGCGGCGCGGGAAACGAGGCGGCCTGAGGGAAACGAGGGCGGGGACGGCTTACTACGGCGGACGTCACATAAACAAACGCCTCCTGGCTGGAGTCCTACTGCGAAGGGGGAGTGGCAGGATGGGAAAGGCGGAAAGGTTAGCAACAGGGGGAGAAAACTAGGCTGCGTGACGTGCTTTGCACTCCCAAAGTTCTTAGGGATCACGACTTGGCGTTGAAAAATAGTTTTAAAACTGCTTTGCAAAATCCTCACACCTGTGCCCAGGTTCTGGCTTGAGGTGACCGAGAAGGTGGTCTTGTAAGCACCAGACTGAAGTTATACTAACCCCATGTTTGCTGAATTTTGTTTTAAATTGAGTTTTTATCTTTTAATCCTCCTCTACGTCAGCAAAGATTTAGTTTAATGAGTCGTTTAATGAAGTACAATTTTGACATCCTGTCTATCCACCAGCTCCCGCGTGCCCGTCTCACACGGTAACCCAACCCATAACAATCCAGGTTGTTTTTTTTTTCCCCCCACTTTAGCAGTGAGATTTCAGGCCTCTCAGAATTGAATGGTTGTTAATTTCCATGGGAACAGTGCCGCTTTCTTAAAAGACTAGTCGGTGGAAAGCCAGTAATCTAGGGACACGCATACCTCCTCCAGCTGCTTGTAAAAGGTGTTCCAGTCACCCAGAAATAATACCACTAACTGGTGGTCTTGGGAATTGAAAAAAACAGTGAAAAGCAGGCTTTTCCCTGTGGAACGTATAATAATCTAACAACCTAAACTATTTTAGACACGGGGATGGGGGGATGGGGGGGATGTTGGGGGAAGGGAGGCTGAAGTAACTTCTCAGTTGGAAAAATGGAAAATGAAAAAAGTAAAAGATTGTGATACCTCTTTATTCCAAGGACACATGTAACTCCAGAGACAGACAGTCTGGTTTATTGGTAATGGGAGGGTGGGGAAAGAGGATGTTTTTTCCAGAAACTTGATATTGGTCCCAAGCTATGAAAGTGTGAAAATCAACCATAAAACTTTATCATCTGCTGACAAGTTTCACTGCTTTCACTGTAGTGTCAACAATAAGAATTTAAATAGATACTTCTGAAACGCTAATTTAATTCAACAGCCAGTTCATTGAACATACATTACAAACCCACTTCTGAAGTCCTCAACTAAGGTTTTTGTTTGTTTATTTGTCTGTTTTTGTTTTCTTTCCTGTGGTACTGAGGATTTAACCCAAGACACTCTATGGCTGAACTATATCTGGAATTTGCAATCCTTCTGCCTTAGCCTCCAGGCTTGCACCACCAAGCCTGGGTAAATATATTACCAGTATTTTGTGTGTGTGTGTGTGTGTGTGCCTGAGATGGGGATGGAACCCAGGGTCCTACATAAGTTAGGAAAGTGCTCTTCCATTGAGTTATATCCCCAGCCCAAGGACAGGATTTTATCTTACCCATTTTTGTATCCCAGTGACTAAGAGAGAGCACAGAAAATTCTGAATACTGGATAATTGCTTGTGAAACAATAAGTCAATGTACATTTTTTAATTTATAAAGGTTGGGCGGGGTATATAGCTCAGTATACAGCACCTGCCTAGCATGTGCCAGACCTTGGGTTCCATCCCCAGCACTGGAAAAGTAAACTTTTATTACAGATTTATCTCAAGTTAAAACATCTTTACAATTGTGTTTGACCTAAAATGAGTTCACTGTGGCTCCAGTGAGGCAATCCGTTAGCTTGTATTATTTATGTGACCTAAAATGAGTTTGGAGGTTATAGTGACCAACTTTGATTGATATGATGCTGACACTGGAGTTTTTAAGATGAGACTAGATTCTTTGTTTCACTAATTTCCTCTGGGTTCTTTTCTCACAAACTTTGAAGAATAAACCTATGGTCTATCACAGAAGAGTAAACAAAGCAGGATTTTTTGAAGCAAAGATAGAAATCCTGCCATGCAGAAGGAGGCCTGATAGCAGAAAAACCATTTTGGTATGCCATCTAAGGAGTTTATGTATGGTTCTGGGTAGAGCACTAGCAAAATGTATGTTAAACAGGCATTGAAAAAGTATGAAGGCTATTGACTTCCTATAACTTCCATCTGGTTCACACCCACCTTCCCTTTTCCACCTTGGGGACAAAGGAGCTGGCTGCTGGGTGTCCTTACTGGTAAGCCCCAAGGTGTTTTACATTTTAAATAGGCCCTGATGGTGCTCATTCATATGTCTACTAGTTGCCTCCAGGTGTGGTTCCTGTGTTTGAATAAGACTGACCATTGACATTCTTATTCAATGCCATCTCAGTTCTTG